TGCTGATGATGATGATGCTGATGATGATGCTGATGATGATGATGATCATGATGATGATGATGATGATGATGATGATGATGATGATGATGATGATGATGATGATGATGGCGATGATGATGGATGATGATGATGATGATGATGATGATGATGATGATGATGATGATGATGATGATGCTGATGCTGATGCTGATGCTGATGCTGATGATGATGATGATGATGATGATTATGATGCTGATGCTGATGATGATGATGATGATGATGATGATGATGATGTGATGATGATGATGATGATGATGATGATGATGATGATGATGATGATGATGATGATGATGATGATGATGATGATGATGATGATGATGATGATGATGATGATGATGATGATGATGATGATGATGATGATGATGATGATGATGATGATGATGATGATGATGATGATGATGATGCTGCTGCTGATGATGATGATGATGATGATGATGATGATGATGATGATGATGATGATGATGATGATGATGATGATGGTGGTGGTGGTGGTTGTGGTGATGGTAATGGTGATTGTGATGGTGATGGTTCTGGTGAGGAGGAGAGGGCGGGAGGAGATCCTGCGCGGGTGTGTGTGTGTGCAGAGAACGCGAGAAACCCATTTGGATGTGGAGAGCAAGAACCCTACTTTGGATGTGGGGCGCCTGGGTTCCTGTCGTCTATAAGCTCGAACTTGATGTTGTACGGGTCCCTTTCGCCAGTCCTTTCGCACGTGAGCTGAAACCATGTGATTTTACATGGGCCCCCTTGGTCTGTGCTCTGAAACCATGTTTTTTTTTGAAATAGGTTCCTTTCCCCCACACCCTGGAGTCCTGGACCTGTTTCCACCAGGACCCTCTTCCTGCATGACAGGGATCGGAAGAGGGAGCCGACAGGTTGGCACACCCAGAACGTCTAGGAATAATTAGAGGGCTGAGCGGATGGCATCCTGCCGAGCGCTAAAACGATCTCTGGATCCCCCTCTGGGGCGCATGCGACGGCGTCGATTCGACGGCGCTGGTCAGCGATTTTCCCGTGAGCGCGATCGACCCCCAGGAGACAGTTTCTTAATCCCCTGGCGTTGCGTGACGGGGGGGGGAGGGGGGAGGGGGTCGGTCACATCACGATTCGCGCCTGCGCCGTCTTAGGATGCCTAGGAACGGCTCATTCTCACACGGCGCCGGCGCGAATCGTGACGTGGCCAGGGATGGGGGCAGGGGGTTGGGGGCGGGGCCGGTCACGTGCGTTCTCGCGGATGACACAGAGAAAGGGCTCCAGGGACGGGTGTTGCTAGAAGTGCCCCCTGGTCCGAGGTGCCCCCCAGGATCTTCAAGGAGGCCCCCACGGCCCCCCAGAGCACCCCTCACGAGGCCCAGGAGGCCCCGGGGCTCCCACGTCGATCGCCCTGGGCCAGGGGCACCTCCTGGCAGCCCCCGACAGGGGCTCTTCCAGCCGCGGATCCGCCTCTCCGCCCGTGGGCACCGCGTCTCGGCTCGAGCCGCGGCCGAGGGCGCTGCAGGCGCCAGGGTTTCGCGCCGTGCCCCCTCCTCGAGAGGACCGTCGTCGTCTTCGGAGGAGGAGGGGGAGGAGGAGGAGGAGGACGAGAGGCGGGAGGAGGAGGCGGCGGCGGGAGGAGCAGGGATCGTCGCGGGCTCGCTCGCTTTCATGCGGCCGTGCGAGTTGTCCAGCGTGGGCGCGCTCTGGGGCTTCCTTCTGAGAGGTGCGGCTCTGGTCACCCCTGGGGGTGCCGAGGACATATGGCTCACATCGATCCAGCCCTTCACCGGGGGCGACTGGGATGCTGGCATATCCATGCGCATCGGCGGCCAGATCATGCTGGAGGAGATCAACAAGAACAGTGCTCTGTTGCCGAATTATACCCTGAGGGTGGTCTGGCAGGACGGCTTGTGTGCTAGGGACAGGGCCGTAGATGTGTTCGTCAGGGGCTTGTACATGCTGGAGTACTCCCACGTCTTCGCGCCCAGCGTGCCCCTAGATGCCCTGGACACGGACGGGGACGGAACCGTCACAGCCGCTGATGCAGAACATTTGAGTGAAGTATGGAATGCCACCGAAGTGTCTTCGAGACCTGTAGGCCTTCTGGGTCCTGGCTGCTCTGGTGGTGCTATGGCAGTCGCCAGTATTGCGGCCAATGCACGGATGCCCATGGTGTCCAACAGTGCCACAAGAGGTGATTTGAGCGACAGAGAGAAGTACCCACATTTTTTCAGGACCATCTTGCCAGACACCCTTTTCGGTGGTGCCTGGGTGGCCATGGCAAAGAGTTTGGGCCACAGTAGGATCTCAGCGTCCTGCGGGGAGACGCTACAATGGGGTTCAGATGTGAGAAAGTTGGGCGAGGCTGCGGACGACCAAGGTGTAGTTCTCGAAGGTCGAGAGCTCGATGACCTCGGTACGTGGCGTGGCTACCAGATCAGCGACGACTTGGCCCCTGCTGCGGAAGCAGCGGCGAGTCTCCTGAAGCAAGGCGCCAGTGATGGGTATGTCTCCCGGTTTGTCATTCTCCAGATGTACCAGCCGAGGGCGAGGCTGCTCATGTGCGCAGCCCACAAGATCGGCTACAGGCACGTCGTTTGGATGGTTACGGGCTGGTTCACAGCGGGCTGGTGGTATGAGCCGACGGCAAGCGGCTGCACAGCGGAGGAGGTCCGAGGCATGGCCGAATTCTACATCTCCGCGAACATGCAGTTCTATCGGAATGATATGGATGCCTTGCTCGATTGCTCCACCAGCATGACGGCGCAGGGCTTCCAGGATGAGTGGCTGTCGCGGCAGGGTGCCACTATGGAGGACCTCGGCAAAGTGCCCGAAGGGTACCATCCAGCCCTCGAGGCAGCCACGACAGCCGACGCTGTCTGCATGTTTGCCCAGATGCTGCACAATCTATTGGTGGTCGATGGCGTCCAGCTTGGCCACTTGAGGGATCGCACCTCTCACGCATACCTCGCCGTCTTGGACGCTTTCGCAGTGAGCAACTTTTCTGGCCTGATCGGCCAGATCAAGTACGCGCCAGACTCTCCAGATCCTGAGGGTTCCATCAAGATCGAGCAATTGCAGAATATTGGCACATACCGGCAGGTGATGCTAGCCACTTTTTTCAATGGGGTCATTACGTTGACTGGTGATCATAATCGAGAACGCTGGCGGCGCATCACCGGCCGCTCCCTGGGAGTTTGACGCATCTGGTCGGTAGTCTCTTGGAGGCAGAGGCAGTTTTGAAGCCTCTTTGGGAGCTCTTGGGCGCATTTTTGGGGCCCCTCGGGGCTTCTGTTGGGCCTTCCGGGGGCTTCTTGGAGGCCTGCTGGCGGTTTGGGAGGTTTCGTTTGGGCAGAAAGCTGGAAATGTAATTTCGAGTTCTGGCTCCAGGGCCCTCTTGGGGCCATCATGGGACGTCTTCGGCGCGTCTTGGGCCGTCTTGGGCAGTCTTGGCACGTCTTGGGTCGGGGTCTCTGGGGCGATCTTGGGGGCTGGTAGGCTCGTCGTGGATACTCTGAGGGCACAAGAGTCGCACGCGCTCAAGATGTATTATTTCCTGAGAGAATGGGTCTGTTTTGGAATGCCTCAGGAGTCTCTCTTCTGGCGTCTTCGGGGCATCGTGGGCCGTTTTGCGGCTATGTTGGCGTCTTGGAGCGATCTGCCGCTGACTCGGAGCTCTTTCGGATTGTCTTGGGGGGGACGTCTTGGGGCTGTTTGGGGTCGTCTTGGGGCCATTGGGGTTTCTTGGAAGCTTCGACTTGAGGTGGTCTGCGAGGGACCGCCGACAAAGTGGAGGCCCACAGGAGGGACTTCAGGGAGATTTCTACCAGGCCCAGGCGAATCCTACCAGACACTTTGTCACAGTGGTCTCGCACGGCCCAACTCGCAGGGCGGGAGCGGCTGGATCTAAAGGCTGTCGCCTCTGCCGCCGACCCCAAAAACGTCCCTCGAGGCTTGTTCGCCTCCTGTACGAGTTCGACTCAGTTGTTGCCTGTCCATGTGTTGGTGTGTGGGTGTGTGGCCGAAACAGATGACGGCATGCGACAGGGCCACGCGAGGGACACCGAATATGGGTTCGGAGTGGCATGCATTTAGTGGTCTTCGGCTCATCCCGCCACTGTGCCTGGTCTGAGGTTCAGACCCGTCTAGGGGTAGCCAGGAAAGTACACATAGACACTCCAGTATTCAAAAACCCTCGAGCGGGAGCCTTGTCTGTGTGTGAGTGAGTGGCGATGCAGCCTTGAGCGGGAGCCCTCTTTTCATGGGGCCCGCACGTGTGAGGCAATCCAAGGGGGGCGTCGGGTATTTCTAGCTTTCGTTTTTCCAGGGTTACAAATGGGAAGTTTCAAGCGGGAGCTTCGTCGGTGTGCGAATCGTGTGCAAGTCTCGAGCGGGAGTTTTCGGAATGCGTCCGAAAGCCCAGAGGCCCCAGAGCCACTAGGAAACCGTAGGAGGGCCTCAGGAGTTCTCCAGGAGGCCGCATGCTGCACTGGGCCCAAAGGGGGTTACAAGACGAGGCAGGAGGCCCACGGGGGAAAAGACTGGCGGAGGAGGAGGGGGTGGGATGAGGATGAGGAAGCATGGAGGAAGATGAGGAGGAAGGGGAGGGAGCGGGAGGCAGGAAGAGATGGAGGAGGAGGAGGATACAGGAGGCAGGGGGCAGGAGGAGGAGGAGGCGGAGGAGGAAGCAGGAAGCGGAGGAGGAGGTGGAGGAGTAGGCATCAGGATTAAGCAATATGATGGGGGCGCGGGCAGGAGGAGGAAAAATGAGGTGGCAGGAGGATATCCCAAGGTATTCTAAACATATTCTCATGTGGGGTCCTACACTCGGAGATCTGTTTGCTTTGTGGGGTCCCACTGGGACTCCTTCAGATCTTCCGTGTGTTCGTCAGGGCTTTCGTGGAGCTCTCCTACAAGGGACTCGCAGTAGTCAAACGAATTCCTGCAATTGCAAGCTCCATTTCTGGTTCTGGCCTCGGGCTTCTGGTTACCATCCACGAGGGCCTCAAAGTTTTGCAACACATGTCGTAGTTTTGAAGTGCATTTTTTTTCTGATCCGTTTCGGTTTCGCTTCCGCCGCTCCGGTCCTTTGGGGTTTTGGGCTCTTATTTTCCATGAAAGGGTTTGGCCTCATGGTTTTCTTTTAGGTTTTCTCCCCTGTGTCGATTTGAGCTGGGTCGGCGGAATTGTATGTGATAAATGCCGATGCCGAGGTGGGCTTGCGGAACTGAATCTTGAAGATGTTTCGAGCGACGCGCGGTTTTGTTTTGAAGTTCCGCTCGTTACATAACGAGGTTCATCGGGATTTATTGTCTGTTGCAGATGTCTCGAGCGAAACCCTCGTTTTCCAGAATTTGTTCAGAATGTCTGGGGCGAACCGCTTGTGTGGGAGCCTTGCAGGTAACAGGGCGCCCAAGGTCTCTGGTGGGCCCTGGGAGCGCGGACGCAGCGTCATGTACGAGGGATCGTGGCCCTGTGCGCGTGGACTTCGTGTATTTTGCGAAGGATCGCGGCCCTGTGAGTGCGAATCTAGCGTCATTTACGACGCACTGCGGCTCTGGGAGCGTGTAGCCCGCGTGATTCACGCGGGCTCTTCGCTTTGGGAGCGCGACGCCAGCGTCGTTCCAAGAGGATCTTGGCATTAGGAACGCGAAACGTGCGTAATTAACGAGGGATCGTCGCCTTGGGAGCGTGCATCCGTCTTAATCTACGATGGGTTGTGGCGGTGATGACGACGACGATTTGCTTGTTGCTGAGGTGTGACATCTTATTTTTCGTTTTCTTCTTCTCCTGTTCTCTTCTTTTTCTTCTTCCGACGAGGAGGAGGAGGGGGAGGAGGAGGAACTCGCTCGCTCGCACTCGCTACCACCCATTCAGATCTCTCTCATGTTTTCATTGGAATGTATTTCCCGCCGAGGCAAGCTTCGAGGGCACTCCGCCCCATCTACGAGAAGATGATGAAACTGATGATCGATTGGGTCACAGGAGTGCTGCAGGACATGTCGAGGTGCAAGATTGTGCCCATCATTTTCACAGATTTGAAAGGAGGATTATGTAAATCAGAGGACCTCGTTGCTGGACCTTTTCGCAAGTGGAAAAGAACCGATGGCATCTACATTCTTTCGTTCAGTACTTGCAGGGTGGAACCTAAGTGCAGCCAGCACCTACTTTTGCAACCCGCCGTCGTACGTGGGGGCTAATCCAGAGTTCTATATCGACCACATATGCATACCACAAGAGTTGACGCAGAGTGTGGAAAATGTCAAATGATGTGCTCAGGTGGACGAACGCTGCAGTTACTCGATATTCACAAACCTCAAGACCATCGCCCCATTCAGATTGCCTCCATATACAGTTCAGCACACGACCTTTTCCTGCACGGGCTGACATACCTAACCGAGAGGCTTTGTTCTGTCGTTTGCACCACTGATTTAACGACAAGAGCTATTCAACGAGATGGAGCGCCTGATTAGCCTCAAGTATGATCAGCTCAATGAGATTGAAGCGAGAGAAGACGTGGACTAGATGAATCGCGAGTTCACCGAGATCGTGAATCAAGCACTTGTCACCGTCTTAGACAAGAGCCACCTATACACAGAGGCCCGAGCTCAACACATTCAACGAGCTCAAGCATCACCTATCAGTTCGCAGGTGCCTTCGACAGTTAAGGGCGGATCCGAGGATGGAGTTTGAGTACCAGCGCATATCAGCGGTGATTCAGCAGGCCAGCAAGCATCTCAGGATTTCAGCGCGCCAATATGGGGGCGAACTTACTGCCAGGCGAGTCGAGGAGCTCAGCAACGCGGTAAAGGACAACAACAGCTACCTCGCGCAACGCCTCGCCCGTCTCATTGCTGGCAAGCGCAGAGGCCCTCGACAGCGCAAGTTCGCAGCCATCCCCTCATCGGCGGCCTCTGCGCGGGGCTGGAGTATAAGGATGGCGCTCCCTTCTCATCGCGGCGGTTGCTCGGCCACGCCGGCTACGATCGACGAGATTGAGACTGAAGTTCGACTTGAACATAGACGCGCGCGTGGTAATGCAGACGCCTTTGAGACGGCAGCAGAAGATTGGAATCTGATGTCGCACTCTGTCTGGGGAATGACACTATGGCGCAGTTATCCATCTTGGAGCATTCCAGCAAAAGCACTTCGACTTCTATTTGCAGCTAAGTGGTCAACCCGAGGAGGCCAGCGTCGTCGACAGGTATCGGCTTTCATCAGGACGAGTTCGAGCCCTCAAAGATGATGCAGGGCCTTCTTCGTGCGATTCTCTTTATGGCCAGAACACATAATAGATCGCCAGCCATATGGCGCGCAGCTCAGGCAGCCAGGCTGCCGAAAGGTAACCTGAAAGTCGACGTCGGTGGGGGGCCCACCATCATGATAATGTGTGCGGTGGGGCGGACATTTCATGCAGCGGCGCTACGGCGCAAGAGAGCAGCTGAGGTCCCAGACGATTGGATTCACAGAGGACTCCGACGCAGGCGCCGAAAGTCAGCAATGGGAGTGCAGTGGATCTCCTCCTTCCGTCTCCAAGCTGCTGGCATTTCTCATCTCGCGCGCTGTCATGATGCTACAACTGCGTTTTACAGCTTGAAGCATTCCGCCGTGCTCGAAATACCCGCCAGCCTCTACTCGAATGCTGACCTGCAGTTCGCAGGGGATCGGATCGCGAATGCAGTATGTCTTCTCGGAGACGAAACAGGAACGTTTTGGATGCGAAATCACGAGGGGGTCTTTCCAGGAGATGTAGGAGCTACGCTAGTATTCGCTCGCGCGTTCAGTCCGCCCGTGATCGAGGAGATCGCCGACGCCTACATGGTAGGTCGCTGGTGTCGCGCCGCCGAGGTGGGCGCCCCCCCCGGGGCTCTGAGGACCTCCAACAGATGGCACTTGCAGGGTTCGTAGACGATATCGCCGACAAAGTCTTAGAGGGCAACATGCTGGAGCTCGGGGGCCGTCGTGAAAACAGCTCGGTCGACTCGGGCACGCGCGTAGTAGGGGCACCACCTACTGTTAGCAAACAAGAAGATGTGGCATACATGCGTGCCACGGGTGCGCGCGTCATTAGCAGGCTCATATATGAGAAGCACGCGAACATCGACGGCGCGACCATGCATAGTGTGCGCTACTTATGAGGGCTTCAAACAAGTACATTCACACCAGCCCCATAACTATCTAAAAGATTGAGGGCCTTGCGCGCGGCTTACTACTTCATGGGGCGTTTCTGGGCCGCCAAGGGCATCAAGTTCGTGATTGAGAGGTCCATGCTGCAAGGTTCACTCCTCAACGCCGCGCAATGTGGTCTAGAAGTACTTGTCAAAGGCGCGGAGCCGCTCGCCAGTAGCGACCTGTCCGTGCTGGAGTCTTTCATCGCGCGCAATGGATGCGCGATTCTCGGAGGCGCTGCTGAATGGACCGAAGAAGCCGATCATGTTGTCACCTGCTCCGCCCACGACACTCTTCGGGAATTTCGAGTTGTGCCTCTCTTTCTGGAACTCAGGCCATGTCGCATTAGGCCCAGAGGGCTCCAAGACGCCCGAGATGGCCCCGAGACGGCCCATGATGCCCCATAATTAACCCCAGAGACTTCAAGAGGCCTCCACGACGCCCCAAAAGGCTTCCAAGAGGCGTCCCAAGAGGGCCCGAAGAGGCACATCTGTGGATTCTCTGTTGATTTTTGCAGGGCTTTCGAGTTCTCGCCTTTCCAGTGCCCCGAGGCTCCGCGACGGTCCAAGAGTCGCCAATGTCCACCACTCCAACACAGCCCAAGAGGGCCCCAAGACGGCCCAGGAGGGCCCCGAAACGGCGCCCGAAGCGTCCAAGACGGCCCACGAGCTTTCCAAGACGGCCCCAAGACGAGCACAGGAGGGGCAACCCGAACCGACGGTCCGAGCTTAACTTCGAGAGGCTCCCTGGAGGGTCCGAGAGGCCCCAAAGAGGCTCCCCAGAGGCCCTAAGAGGCCTCCAAGAGACCTCCCAAGAGCGCCCGAAGAGGCGCAAATCGTTGACTTTCCGTAGGTTTTTGAAGAATTTTCGAGTATTCGCCTTTTCAGTTTCCCGACGTTCCAAGACGGTTCACGAGGCTCCGAAGACCCCTCAACGAGGATGGTGGCGAGGATTGGGTCCGTATCCAGCGCCAGACGGGTGGGTCCACGTTCCCCATTCGTGGGTCCTTAGACAAAACAACAGGCCGATGACACCGACTTTTTTCGGAGCGCCCGTTCCGCGGGGGCGACCCGGAGAAACCGAGCGGTCGGTGCGCATTTTAATGAATTGCTTTCATCCGTGGACGCTGCGGCCCAGCGCGGCCGACAGGCACGTCGTTTTCGCGGGCGGGGAGCTTGCGCGGCGACGCGAAATTTTTGGGCGGGGGGTCGCGAGATCAGAGCTTCCGTGGTGCCGAGGCCAGGAGGGGGGCGAGAGAGAAGGCGAGGAGGGGGGCGTTGGTCGGCTCGGGGCGCGAAATTGTGGGTTAGGGGGTCCCAAGAACAGAGCTTCCGTGGGGGTGCCGAAGCCAGGAAGGGGGCGAGGAGGGGCGCGTTGGTCGGCTCCAGGCGCGAGGTTGTGGGGTGGGGGGCGCCATGAACAGAGCTTCCGTGGGCTGAGGGTGCCGAGGCCAGGAGGGGGGCAGGAGGGGGGCGTGGGTCGATTCCATGTTCGAAATTGTGGGGTGGCGGGCCCTGAGAACAGTGCTTCCGTGGGCTGGGGGTGCCGAGGCCAGGAGGGGGGCGAGGTGGGGGCGTTGGTCGGTTCCGAGCGCGACATTGGGGGCCCGAAGAATTGAGGGCTGCGGGTGCCGAGGCCAGGAGGGGGGCGAAGAGTAGAGCGAGGAGGGGGACGTCGGTCGGTTCTGGGTGCGAACTGGTGGGGTGGGGGGTCCCAAGATCAGAGCTTCCGTGGGCTGAGGGTGCCGAGGCCGCGAGGGGGACGAGGAGGGGGGCGTTGGTCGTTTCCGGGGGCGAGGTTGTGGGGTGGAGGGTCCCAAGAACAGAGCCTTCGTGGGCTGGGGGTGCCGAGGCCAGGAGGGGGGCGAGGTGGGGAGTGTTGGTTGGCTCCGGGCGCGAAATTGTAGGCTGGGGGGCACCAAGAACAGAGTTTCTATGGGCTGCGGGTGCCGAGGCCGCGAGGGGGGCGAGGAGGGCAGCGTTGGTCGGTTCCGGGCGCGAAATTGCGGGGTGGGGGATCCGGAGAGCAGAGCTTCCGTGGGCTGGGGGCGACGAGGGGGGCGTTGGCCGGCTCCGGGCGCGAAATTGTGGGGCGTGCGTGGGGTCCCAAAAAGAGAGCTTCCGTGGGCTGAGGGTGCCGAAGCCAAGAGTGGGCGAGGAAGGAGGCGTTGGTCGGTTCCAGGCGCGAAATTGTGGGTCCCAAGGGCAGAGTTTCCGTGGGCTGGGGGGGCCGAGGCCAGGAGGGGGGCAAGGAGGGGGGCGTTGGTCGGGTCCGGGTGGGAAATTGTGGGGTGGCGGGTTCCCAGAATAGAGCTTCCATGGGCTGCGGGTGCCGAGGCCGGGAGGGCGGCAAGGAGGTGGGCGTTGGTCGGTCCTGGGCGCGAGTCCCGAGAACAGAGGTTCCGTGGGCTGGGGGTGGCGAGGCCAGGAGCGGGGCGAGGAGGGGGTCGGTTCCAGGTGCGAGATTTTGGGTTGGGCCGTGGGTTGGGGGTGCTGAGGCCAGGAGGGGGGCGAGGAGGGGGTCGAGGAGCAGGGCGTTGGTCGGTTCCGGGCGCGAACTTGTGGGGCGGGGGGCCCCCCCCAAAAACTTCCGTGGGCTGGGTGTGCCGAGGCCAGCGTTGCTCCGTTCGGGGCGCGAAGTTGTGGGGTGGGGGGTCGCAAGAACAGAGCTTCTGTGGGCTGCGGGTGTCGAGGCCGAGAGGGGGCGAGGAGGGAGGCGTTGGTCGGTTCTGGGCGCGACATTGGGGGTCGCAGGAGCAGAGCTTCCGTTGGGAGGGGGTGCCGAGGCCAGGAGGGGGGCGAGGAGGGGGGCGTTGGTCGGGTCCGGGTGCGAAATTGTGGGTTGGGGGGTCGCAGGAGCAGAGCTTCCGTGGGCCCGGGGTGGCGAGGCCAGGAGGGGGCGAGGAGGGGTGCGTTGGGCGGTTTCGGGCGCGAAATTGTGGGGTGGCGGGGTCCCAAGAAATGGGCTGGGGGTAGCGAGGCCAGGAGGCGGGCGTTGGTCGGTTCCGGGTGTGAAATTGTGGCTGAGGGTGCCGAGGCCAGGAAACGGGCGAGGAGGTGGGCGAGGAGGATGGCGTCGGCCGGCTACGGGCGCGAAGTTCTGGGGTGGGGGGTCCCAAGAACAGAGCTTCCGTGGGAAGGGGGTGCCGAGGCCAGGAGGGGGGCGAGGAGGCGTTGGTCGGTTCCGTGTGCGAAATTGCGGGGTGGCGGGCCTTCAGCACAAAGCTTCCGTCGGCTGGGGGTGCCGAGGCCAGGAGGGGGGCGATGAGGAGAGCGTTGGTCGTTTCTGGGCTCGAAATTGTGGGGCGGGGGGTCCCGAGATCAGAGCTTCCGTGGGCTGAGGGTGCCGAGGCGAGGAGGGGGGCGAGGAGGGGGGCCTTGGTCGGTTCCGGGCGCGACATTGTCGAGTTGGGGGCCCCAAAAAACAACAAAGTTTCGGTGGACAGGGGGTGCTGGGGCTGGACGGGGAGCGAGGGTGGGGGCGTTGGTCGGTTCCGTGTGCGAAATTGTCGGGCGGGGGGTCCCAAAAACGAAACTTCCGTGGGCTGACCGTGCCGAGGCCAGGATGGGGGTGAGGAGGGAGGCGTTGGTCGTTTCTGGGCGCGAATTAGTGAGGTGGGGGTCCCAGGAACAAAGCTTCCGTGGGCTGGTCCCAAGAACAAGTGGGTGATCGGTCCAGAGGGTGGGGATGCTGGGGCCAGGTCGGCGGGAGAAGGAGGTGCTCGCGAGCTCTGCGGATACGACAAGGATGTCCCACACGCATTGTGGGGTCGGCGGAGATCAAATTTGGTTTGCCTGGCGAACCGGACGTCGAGACCCTCCCAGCGAACGTGACCCACTTCGCTATATGCCCGAGGGCGAGAGGGGAGTACTTGGATTTCGAGACAAACCAGTGTGTACCCTGCTCTTCTCCCGACCGGGTGTTCGTGAGCAGCATCGGAACCTGCGTATGCCAGGCCGGCTTCGCGGGCTTCGCGGGCCAATGTGCACCGTGCTCTCCTGGCAACTTCACCAGCGCAGTGGGCAGCACCGAGTGCGAGCAGTGCCCTGTCGGCAGGCATTCGGACCAGGCAGCCCAGACCTCGTGCACTCACTGTGCCGTCGGGGCCTTCGCGGATGCAGTCGGGGGCGCACGCTGCCTCGACTGCGGAGCTGGCGCCAGCACGATGGCTCCTGGAGCGTCGGACCCCAGCAGCTGCTACCTCTGCGAGCCTGGCAAGTACTCTGCCGGCGCTGGACCCTGCGTGCAGTGCGGTGCTTCAACGTTCTCATCGTCCTATGGGAGCACGGAGTGTCAGCAGTGCCCAATTGGAATGGGTATCTTGAAGCCTTCGGCCACTGTCGCCGGCCGCCCTGCCCCAGGCATCGAGGCCTCCAACTCCTCGTTGTTGTCGTCGTCGTCCGCCTCCTCCTCATCCTCCTTCTCTTTCTGGGTCCTCCTAGAGCCCTTTTCGGGCCCTCATAGGTCCCTGGCGGCTTTCTGGACCTTCTTGGTGCCCTCTTGCGGCCTACTGCGGCATCCTGGGACTTGACCGTAGAAGGACGATCAAGAAATGCCCGGGGGGCCCGTCACGCCGCAGCGCCCTGAGCGATGATTGATACATTGTTTTCCAGACCTACTCGTCAGCGCTATCGTTGTCATTAAGATTCCTCTCCCGAATCTCTCACAGCGGCGGGAAACTAGTTTTAAGTTGGGCATGTCCTTCAACAGGAGGAATAGTCAAAAATTATCCCAGTGCGACCCTACCTAGGAGTTGGAACCCCTAGGAAAGCAGCATTAGTAGTAAGAGTAACGCTAAGCTAAAGCTAAGCTAAAACTAAGCTAAATCTAAGCTAAAGCTAAGCCACAGCTAAGCTAAAGCTAAGCTACAACTAAGCTAAAGCTAAGCTAAAGCTAAGCTAAAGCTAAGCTAAAGCTAGGCTAAAGCTGAGCAACAGCTAAGCTAAAGCTAAGCTACAGCTAAGCTAAATATAAGCTAAAGCTAAGCTAAATCTAAGCTAAAGCTAAGCTAAATATAAGCTAAAGCTAAGCTAAAGCTAAGCTATAGCTAAGCTACAGCTAAGCTCAAGCTAAGCTAAAGCTAAGCTAAAGCTAAGCTAAACGCTAAGCGAAAAGCTAAGCGAAACGCTAAGCGAAACGCTAAGCTAAAGCTAAGCTAAAGCTAAGCTAAAGCTAAGCTAAAGCTAAGCTAAAGCTAAAGCTAAAGCTAAAGCTAAAGCTAAAGCTAAAGCTAAAGCTCCCAGGGGACTGGGGGGAACCGCTCCCAGGGGACTGGGGGAACCGCCCAGGGCGTGTTCCACTGCCTGGCCCCTTTAAGCTAAGAGAGTAAGAAACCTTCTAGGCAGAGCCTAGGTAGGGAAAAAGAGTCAAAGGATAGAGTCAGGGGACGTTTTTTTGAATATTGTTGATTGACTTTTTTGTAGTGTTCGTGGAATATACAATACTATTCGCGTCCAAAATCCGCCTGTAGGAGGACATGCCCGACCTGAAACTGTTTTCTTAGTCGTTCACCGCCATCCTACATTATCGGGGCGCTCGTTGAGTAATGCAAGGTCCTCATGTGGGATCCTGGGCCACTTGTGAACCATTCGGGGCCAGTTCAGGCAATCTCGCAAACTTGTCGCGGCCCTGTAGCCGATGATCCAGCGTGCGACGACGGAAAGGGTGAAGTGATTCTCGTTAGGAATCAACGGCTGAGGCGGCCCAGAAACTGAGCACACGATGTTTTGAATCATGATGTGCAGTCGGCCTCTTGGGCTCCAGTAGGCTCCAGTAGGCGTCCAAAGTTGTCCAGGAGGGCGCCAAGGTATTCTCACGAGGGCCCGAGATGGCTCCATGAGGCTTCCAACATCGCCCATGAAGCCTCCGCGAGATCCCAGGAGGCTCCAGAAGCTCCCCCCCGCAGACGAGAGGATAGCCACAACACAGCTTGAGGCTGCCAGGACAGGCTCCACAGCAACGCACGCGGCCCCAGCCATTGCCGGGCCTGCCCCAGGAGGCTGACGCAGGCACGCGAGAGGCCCCGACGGAGGCCCCACGAGGAGCGCAGGGAAGCCCTCTGGGGCAGCAGCCGGCGACCCTCGCCAGCAAGCCGCAGCACGCAGCAGCACGCAGCAGCACGCAGCAGCACGCAGCAGCACGCAGCAGCAAGCACGGCTCCTGACGGTGGCCCAGGAGAGCCGCAGATGGCGGCCCCGCGGCGGCCCCAGATGGCTCCATAGGGGGTGCCCATGAAGGCACGGGAATCCTCGGCGAGATTCCAAGAGGCCCACGGGAGTCACCACGAGAGAGGCCCCAAGAGGCGCCAGCAGAGGTCCAAGATAGCCAAAATTGACAGAGTTCATCAGGTGTTCCAGTGTGTTTTTTGTTCAGCTTCTCGTCTCGAGATGGCTTCAGAAGTGCTTCGAAGATCTTCAATCTTCGACGTGCTTCAATATAGCCGAGGAGGGTCCCAAGAACCACCCAAGAAGGCTCGAACGCCCCACGAGACCCAAAGGACGGCCCAGCACAGCTTCGGGAGGAGCTCACGAGCCCAAGGACAGCCCCAGACGGCGCCGAGACGGCCCAAGAGAGACCCCCAAAGACTCCAAGACGCCCCGAGACGGCTCAAGAAGTTCCAAGAGGCGCCCGAGATGCGTCTTCGAAGGCAGCCAAGAGGAGCCCACGAGGTTGAGGAAACGCATGAGCAGTTGCACTAGAGGTATCTAGGGGCGCGACCATGGGCACGAGCAGTACACAGCGGCACACGGCAGCAACCAGCAATACGCAACAGCAGCGCGAAGCAGCCAGAAGTTCTAGGCAGCAGCAAATAACCGCAAACGACAAACTAGCAGCACAGCAGCAAGCGGTTTAAGCATCAGCGACTCCCACTGTGCTCAGAATGGGTTTTGCGAGGGATTGTGACCCTGGGAGCGTTGATCGGGCCAACTTGCAAGGATTCGTGTACGTGGGGGCGCGGATTCAACGTGCGGAGAGAAGCGCGAAACAATTCTCGTTTGATGTTGAAAGGTAAGGCGGCCACCGGCTGGCGATGGAAGGAAGGCTTGCCAACTTTCTTTGAGCATTGCGGCTGGGGCATCATAAGGTCGCCAAGGCGGCTCGGGTTCCCGCGAGGACACTGAAACAGCCGAAGATGGGTCCAGAAGGCAACGAACACGGCCGAAGGAGCCTTACAGTGGTTTACGCTAGCCGAGGAAGCTTTTTAGAATCTCCAAGAAACAGTCTCCGAGAGGCGCCAGCTGAGGCCCCATTTAGCAACATTGAAATGGTCAAACATCGTGATGACTTAGTCGCGTTTTTCCATTCATTCTTTTGCCGATCGGCGCGGGCCCTCGCACCCGCCCCCTAACCCCCCCCCCTGGAGTGGATCTTGGCTGTTTTTTGTCGCCTGTTTCGAGCAGGTGGAGTCTCCCCCACAGGACGCACTGCTGTAAACAGATGCACTAAGCAGAGGTCCGGAGCCAGACCCCCCCCTCCCCCCCCCCTTTCCGCCCAATGTCGAAACGCTGAGTAACAAAAACGCTCCCGTGCTTGAGAACTCTTTGTTTCGCCCTGTTCTCGGCGTCCGTGGCGCCAAAGATCGCTCCAGGGCAGCCCGGGAGGCCCGGAGAGCCGAGAACTACGCAGAACGGTCTCTAAAGGAGGCCCCAGGAGTCTCAAGACGATCCAAGAGTGCCTCCAGGGGGTCCGAGGTGGCCGAAGAGACCCAAGTGGCCCCAGAGGAGGAGGAGGAGGAGGCGGAGGAGGAGGAGGAGGCGGAGGAGGAGGAGGAGTCTGCCAGTTGCCTGGGCTCTAAAAAACGGCGCCAGAGGCCGCATGACAGCTCGACAGGCCCCAACAGGCTGGCAGACGCGAGCGGGAGGCCCGAGGAGCTGTCACAAGAGCAGCGAGGATGTGCCGACGCGGCAAGAACCATGAGCGTACGACAGCTAAGTCGAAGGCAAACAGCTGCCAAAGGCAGCAAGCATCGGCGCTTCCCGTGGAGCCTGAAACGTGTTCTGCGAGGGGTCGTATAGCCCTGGGAGTGCAGCATCAGCATGCTTTGCGACGGCTTGTGGAAGGCAGGAATCGTAGCGCACCGCCAGGGGAGGGCAAGTCGTGTTTTTTGTTGGGGCGGGCCACGGGGAGGACTCACAACGAGCGGCACTCGTCGCTCGTGAGATCCAGCTCTCTCTTTTTTTTTCTCTCTCTCTCTCTCTCTCTCTTTCTTTCTTTCTCTCTCTCTCTCTTTCTTTATTTCTTTCTTTCTTTTCTTTCTTTCTCTCTATATAAATATGTATATACGTATCGATGTATATGCATATGCTTTGTGCTTGCACATTAATGATCTCTTGCTGCGTTCAGTGCCGTATGTTGTACTTATGCTCAAGTTTTTCCAGGAGTGGTTTTCCCTGATGGGGGCGCAGTCCGCCCTCATCGAGACCTTCCAGTCTGCAGGGATCCGTGCTCTCGAGCTGCTGGCGCTGCGCCAGTCCCTGATCTCGGCGGTGCCCCAGTGCCCCGCGGTCTCGCTGGCGTGCCCGCCCGCGAACGTCTCGTGCCCCGTCCAGGTCTGCCCGGCGCTGGCCTGCCCGACCCCAGCGTGCCCCGTGCCGCTGGTGAATCTCTCCTGCCCGCCTGCAGGAGTTGAGCTCGTCCCTGACGGGCTCGACATTCCCTCGGCCTGCTGGGGATACCTGGCAGGAGTCTCTGCGGGGCTCGGGCTGGGAGGCGCAGTCTGGCGGCGGGGCGGCCGCGTCGACGCCGAGGCGACAGGGGTGGGAGATCGAGCGCGAGAGCAGCTGCAGCTGATCAGGAGGCGCAATGGCGAGAGTAGGCTACGTGCTCTTCCAGTATGACCTGCCTGGAGCGCCGGTGTATCATGAGAGGCTTGTGACAGGGGTCTCGATCGGGGATCCAGGTCTTGTCAGCACGTACTCGCCAGATGGGGACCACTACGCAGAGTACACGACGTCCGACGACCTCAGAGATGTGCGGTGGTCGGGAGCGCAGGGGGCCACCCCCCCTGGGGTCAACCCCGCCCACGTCTACCGCTTCCGCCAGGTGCCGACGGCGGCCGAGGTCCAGCAGCTGATCCGCGAGGGCTCGCTCCTTATCGAGGGGTTGGCGCCGCCTGCTGCCGCTGCTCCTGCCGCCGCAGCGGCGCCCGTGGCGGCTCCCCCCGCGGCGGCCGCACCACAGGGGGCCATCGTGCCTCGAGGCGCTGGCGTGGTGGGAGGGGTCCCCCGCGCTGGGGCCGCGGCCGCCCCCGCAGTGGCTGGTACAGTGTGGCTGGCTATTGAGGACTTCCAGGGGATGCGGCGCGGCGAGCAGATGC